TTAATGAGTCCTGGTATAAATCTCCAGTCCATCCCATCAGTATCACTTAACTGGTCTCCTTGCTTTTTCTACTTCCGCAACCCTCTAGTTTATTCTCCACACAGCAGCCAAAATGATCCTTCAAAATTGTTGTCAGTTCCTGACATGACTTTGCTCAAATCTTTCCTATGAGATTTGAAATCTCTCATCTCACACACAATAATGTCCAAAATTGGTATCCTATATATCCCAAGGAAAATTATATGTGATCTAGCCCCTGCCTGCTCCTTTCTATTCATCACCCTCTTAGCTATAAGCATGTGACCCTCTTGTGATTCCTCTAATATAACTTAGGGAACTTGTGGTTTCCTCTGCTTCCAATGCACAACCATGCCCCTCCCCAGTTTATGGCATCTGCTCAGAAAGGTCTTCCAAGGTCATTCAATATAAAGTAGCTACCACACTGTGGCTTTGTACTGCAACACTTTGTTTTGTTTTCGTCTGAGTACTTATGTAAATAAGAAAATATCAATAGTCATATCATTTGGATTGATTGTCTCTTATGCTAAAATGCAGGCTCCCAGAGAGGAGGATCCTTGTTTGTTTTATTGAGCATTTTATTCACTGTGCCCAGTGTCTGTCATATATTGTCCTCAGTTCATCTGGTTTGTTGAGTGATAAGCTCAGTTTTACACATACTTAATTGCAAAAGTGTCATCATAAATTTTTTTCTTGCTTGTGATTCTACCACTTTAGTTGACTAGGGTCAGTGTTTTCTTTGTCTGGTAGGTCATTCTAAAGCTTCCCTGATCTGATTCATTCCTTTCACTTAGGGTAGGAAACCTAAACCATCATAGAATGTTGGTAATGTTTAAGAGAAAAGAACCATTTCAGGCACAATGTTGATTGTTACTGTGGGGTCCAGAGAGAGTTTTCTGTTATTATGCAAATCTCTTGGCTCTTAGATGCAATGAGGTGAGCTCATTATATATTAGTAAATATTTACAAAGGACTGTATTGACTGAGTGTTTCACAATCAGGTTGATTAGTGATTTCTCCTGGCAACCTTGTGAGGTCAATCAGCATTATTAAAGCACAGCCCAGAGAGGTTGGGCAACTTGCCCAAGGTCACTCAGCAGGTCATTGGCAAAGCCTGCCTTGGCGACTTCAGAGCCCATTACTGTGACAAGTCCTGGCACTGACTCTTCTTGGAAGGGTGACCCCTAATTGCTTTTCTTGTAAGGTAGGCATATAGACACTAAGTGTTCTGAAGTGAGAGAAGTACAAAGGCCTTGAGTTGAAGGAGTTATTGGTGCAATTAGAAATTGGAGCCAGCTATTGAAAATTGAAAATGCTGTTCAATGGAGGTGAATTGGAGGATATATTACTTTTTGAGAGAATAAGAGAAATGTAGTTTGAAAAATAGGAAATTGAAAAGCAGAAATGTATATAGAAAATTAATGGAGGTGGCTTTGGCTGGGGTAAGGAGTAATAAGTTATAGGGCCAAAATGTTTTAGGAAGAGTTTAGGTAGGTCATGGATCAAAAAGTCTGAGTTCTCCAAAATAATATGCCAGCAAGTCACCTTCATCAAGCAATGTTTTCTGATATTCTGTGAAAAATGATATCTTCTTTTCAAGTATGCATCATTTTAGTCCTTGAAGCCTAACATGCAAATTACATAGTCCCCACTATTATTAACATGTTCTGCTGTATATGCTCTGGGAATATATATCTGGGAAAATGATTTCAGTTTTAAGAAATCATGATGTATCTCCACTTTCCATTCATTTTTTTCTTTATGTGTTTTTTTTCTTCCTTTTGGATTTAAGTTAAGTAGGTTCAAGTCAGTGATCTATTTGTGTCCTGTATGATTTTGTCCTTTAAATCTTCAAATTGTATCTCTGACTCTGTTCCTGTAAGCAAATTGTTAAGAGCTAACCATTGTAACCACAGTAGTAATTACTTATATGTGTGT